AATGATAAGCAAGTGCTATAACAAGTCTCAGCTTAACGTAGTACACATAGCAAGGATTTTTTTATTATATAGGCCTAATAAATAAAAAGAAAACAGATAGAATAGAAAAAGAATAGAGCAAGCTAGTGTTAGAGGCCTTTTTTGCTTTTGTTAATTGTATAATAAATAAAAAGAAAATAAATAGATAGAATACAAAAATAATAGAGAAGCCAGTGTTAGTTTTTTTTTATTTGTATTATTATTACTTTTTTTAACATTTTGCGGGTTGTTTTACTCTTATCTGTATGACCAAAAATGGAGTATATGTGTCAGCTGTTTGATCGTGCCGGCGCCTTGAATACACACACACACACACACACCACATATTCTAGCAATTTAAACTTGCCATCACAGTCTGTTCATTATCAAAATAAAATACAGTCAGCCAAACATATCGATTTAAAGAGTCCGTAGTATAACCGGTCTACAGCTGCTGTAATGCCAAGCGCATTTTTACGCATGTGAAGAGGATGATTTTTCCATCGATATGCGAACGCGCATGAAGCCTAGTCTACATTATAAATAATAGTTTAACATTGAAATACATTGCGAATAAGGAAACATTGGATTTGTGCCAAATGAGAGAGCTACGTGAGCCCAGCAGTACTTTCAGTTTCACTTTGTTTTGGTTTCTTTAGCTTTATATTTTTTTCATTCTTGATCTGTTCTGCATACCGTTACACGTAAATGATTTGTTTTGGAGTGAGAGAAACTAAGCTATGATTATAGTGTTTATAATGTTTATACATTATAAGTCTACAGCTGCTGTTATGCCAAGCGCATTTTTACGCATGTGAAGAGGATGATTTTTTCCGTCGATATGCGAACGCAAATGAAGCCTAGTCTACATTATAAATAATAGTTTAACATTGAAATACATTACGAATATGGAAACATTGGATTTGTGCCACATGAGAGAGGTACGTGAGCCCAACGTTACTTTCAGTTTCGCTTTGTTTTGGTTTCTTTAGCTTTATATTTTTTCATTCTTGATCTGTTCTGCATACCGTTACACGTAAATGATTTGTTTTGGAGTGAGAGAAACTAAGCTATGATTATAGTGTTTATAATGTTTATACATTATAATATTTCACTTTATTTTGGTATTATTTCTAGTATTTCTGGTATTATTACATTCTCTCCAAATGTTCCGCTGCTCACTAAAGAGAGAGTGGGTTAAGCAGCAGCACCAATCAAAGAGAACGATTTTGAAAGAAAAGCTGATTGGTCAATAATATGTTGAGGACCAATACATAATCTACAAATCATGCTCCAAATACATCTACATAAACCCGCAATCGCTCTGTCTCATATGCTTGCACGCACTGTCACGATCTAATGCACTCTATAATGCCAGATCTTTAAAAACAAATACCGGAACGCAAAAATCCAAAATCTGACATTTTCCGGAACAGGATCCGGCTCAAATTAAGCACTGCTATATGGGGGTTATTTCATGTATGTAATATTTGCAGCAGCAATATTTCTTACATGCTCACAACAGCATATTGTGGATGTATTGGCAGTAGCAAGTCTCGGTATGTGTTCTGCCACAGCAGCGTAGCAGATCTATTTTGCCAAGACCAAATACATTAACATTGTCATGTACATTACCATGCCAAACCCTTCGAGAGTTGTCATGACAGAACTGTGTTTTTCCCTTAATGTATTATTGGTTGAGTTGTAGTGACCATCATAGGTCACAAAAGCAATAGTCTCTTTTCATATTTTGTTTGTATATATGAGTGATTGTAGCAAAAACACAGAAAAAAGGCACTTTCACTGTCACAGAAGCGTTATGCCACCCGTCGTGTGGCATATCTCAAGAAGAGGAATGCAGAAAGCACGGTCTCATAAACCACACCACAGCCGTCGCCATGGCAACAGCCTCGCAAAGTCTATTACGGTCCCGAATTTACTCGCTGAAATCGAGTGGATAAAAGGCAGCATAAAATTGCAATGAGCACATGCATTCAGATGATTAGGAATACCTGACACTATAATGTTACCCCTTTATAAGAGCTGTGTTGTAACATGCTGAATCTATATTAGGAACATGTCTTAATGCCTTCTCTGACCCATTTAGCCGTGGGACTGACGACCTGCCCGGAGCCCGTGATCCCGGCCAATGGCATCAAGAATGGCGACAGGTACATGGTGAACGAGGTTGTGTCATTCAGCTGTGAGCCGGGGTATGTGCTTCAGGTGAGTTGCTGATTATCCGCAGCCCTGACACACAAATACAACATGCTGCACCTGCACACGGGTAGAAAAGTGCAAAAAAATAACAAGACAGAGAAGCTGTATCATGTGATCTCTTGTCTTCCAGGGACATTCTCACATAACGTGTATGCCGGGAACCGTGCGTCGCTGGAACTACCCCCCTCCGCTCTGTATCGGTGCGTTTTTCTATAATAATCAGATGGCAGATTTTTTTTTTAACCATATGGCTTTATCATAGTTTTTAATATTCAAACACCCAGGGCATTTTCTTTTATGTCTCCTTATGTTTCTTCAGCGAAGTGCGGCGGGACCCTGTACAATATGAGCAATGTGGTCCTGAGCCCGGGTTTCCCTGGGAACTACCCTGGAAACTTGGACTGCACCTGGAGAATCGTGCTTCCTGTTGGATACGGTGGGTGCGCCGAGAGCTAATACTGAATCAGCTGTCTGGAGATTACAGCTTCAAATGCTTTCTCTCAAGGAGTCTTTCCCCTTCAGTTTGTACATTGCAGTGTGCTGGTACCTATGACCAGAGTTGAGGGAGAACTAACTTAAAATTGTGAATCTGCTGATATGTTTATTTTCTTCAAGGGATAGTTTATCCCAAAAAAAAAAAGTGTCATCATTTACTCACTCTCATGTTGTTCCAAACCTGTATGAAGTACTTTCTTCTGTTAAACACAATAGAAGATACTTTGACGAATTTTGGTAACCAAACAGTTGCTGGTAGACATTGATTTTGATGGGGTTTTTTTCATACTATGGAAGTCAATGGCTACCAGCAACTGTTTGACTTCCAACAGTTTTCAAAATATGTTCTTTTGGGTTCAGCAGCAGAAAGAAACTCATAGAGGTTTGGAACAACTTCGAGGGTGATTAAATGATGACAGAATTTAGTGGATTTTCCTGGTCTTATTGTAAACTAATAATAAACATAAAATTAACATAAACATAAAAATGCCTCCACCTCTGATGCAAGTTTCATTTTTGGATTATGTCACAGACTTCTCACTCTCATTACAACCTATTCTAGTATGTTAGACTTAGTTTCATTTTTTTTTTTTTTGCCAAATCCTGTAGAAATACATCACTTTACAGTAGTAATGGTAGGTAAAATGGCTTAAAAAATACTTTCATCCATTCTCCAAAACTGCTGGTTCTCTGTAGGAATTTACAGCATTTCATGTTGACTTTAAATTTTTCAGTGGCATAAGATTTAATTTTTTCAGCTGCAAAATTGTGACGTTTTTTAACCAACAAGAAGACCTAATTTTAGCAAACTGGCTTGCTCATTTAATTACTCGGACCCTACACAAGATTTGCATTTGTTTTGTCAGAAAATAATAGTTAAAATGTCAATATTCGATTAAAGCTTGCTTTTGTTCAAAATCAGAACACATTTATTTTAATAGTATTTAAATTTGCATTCAACTCAATGCGTCAAAATGGTTTTACAACGTTAAACATAGAAATTCACTTGTGTTCCATGAATGACGCCCATTGAATTTGTTGCATGTGTAAACTCATGCATTAGGTATTTACCCAGATACAAGACAGCCTCACGCTGAATACCATCAGACATAAAATGATACTTCCTTTCCATTTGATGTTCTGCTACTTGACACAAGGGCGTTATTTGGTTTCATTTATCTCGACTTTTAAGATGTGGTTTGAGCAGTTGATGCAACTCTCTGAAGTCATTTAGTCGTAGCCCGCAGTTCAAATCAGTTGAGAACAAAAGAACCTTTCCAGATGTTAACAAGGTAATTGCATGTCATTTAAAAAAAGCCATTCACACTTATCCTGGAGCGCAACTATTTATTCTCCAACCCCCTCTAACTTGGAAGAAAACAATGTAACATTGAGATATCCAAAAGCAATTTTCTGCCTTATCGAGCAGCCACTGCACAAGCAAGAGCAAGAACCATCATGTTTGCGCTGTGTAGCAAAAAATGCATTAGCTTTCACTGTTAACAGGCTACAATCATTTGAATAAGACACAAAGATGGCTTTGCTGGTGCTGATTATAGCTTTTAGGACAGTCTGAATAGGTAGAGTTAAGTGCAGTTAGAGGATAGCACCGCATCAGAATGACAATAAAGCTAATGTTTAAAAGAGCTGCCCAAGGCGTCTCAGAGCGACGCATGCGTTCAGTGAAAGCGACTGACTTGTTTGATTCTTTTGTTGTCGTATCATCCAACTATCTTCTTTTATGTAATGAATGTTAAGTTCAAATCTTGTGGTTGGAGACAAAGACAGAATAATTGTTGAGGATTAGGTGAAGTTAATGGTGTGTAATTGTAAAATTTCGCACTGGCATCTTTCCTGTGCTATTTCTTGCTGGCTTGGAGGAGCTACACATTGATGAATTTAAGTGACAGCTACGGAACCAGAAATAAACAAAATCCCTTCCGCCCACCACACAAAACACTGAAATGCTGGCAACACTTGGACTCCAATTTACTGAAGAAGAAGAAGAAGAAGAAGAAGAAGAAAAAAAGCTTTTTAATTAATATAGATGATGCTCTTGTGTGAGGTAAATAGTTCAGAAGAGAGTGGAAGGAGAGCAGCACATGTATGTAGAAATACAGCAGTTACTGTTAATGGCGACTGGTTGAGAGTTTTTTTTTTTTAATAAAGTGAAAAAGATTTTTGCATCCATATTTGACCCTAGTGTGGACCCCAGGATGGGAACCGCTGGTGTAGGCTATATGCCTGGGTTTTGTTAGCTATCTCACTATGCAATATGTTTCATCATACATGCGTCGAAATGCCATATGTATTATGATACATCACAAAGTATCATGACCAGGCCATTAAAAAATAAATTAATAAATTCAGAAAGAAAATAAAATCTTCTAAATAGTCAGTACTGTCAAATGAATGCCTCAAAATGTCATATTTTAGTCTTGAAAGAGACTTACCAAATTGACAAACTCAATCAAAGCTTATGTTTTTAGAAAAAAAAAAAACAGACAGGGAACAGAGACTCAAAGCATGCAAAGAGAGTGAATGTGCGGGTCTCTCTCTCTCGAGCTGAGTCAGAGCAGAGTTTATGAGAACTGCCGGTACGCAAAATTCATTGCCGGCACTCTGAACAGCATAACACATAAGCACTGTCAGTAATGCAAGAGGTTAGAGGCACAATAGATCAAAAAATGTCTTGCTGCCCCCATCATTTTGCACCGTAGGTTTGCAACCATCTATGTCTGCGTATGCTGTGTATGGATGTAGTTACTGCGAAATGGTGTCTTGTTACATTAGCATTAACATAATTTTAAGTAAGTTTAAGTAAGCTGTAGAATTCATATTTTTAAAAATGTCATAAAATTTCCCCTATGATGTCTTTTAAAATCCATAAGATTGAGTTCATCTTCAAAATAGAAATTAAGGTATTTTCAATGATATCTGAGAGATTTCTGAAATTCTATTCACCATCAGAACTTTAATGGTTCCAAATCTTTATAAAGACACAGTAAATATAATACATATGAATCGTGCGGTTTAATCCAAGTCTTCTGAAGAGACACGATCCATTTATATGTTGAACAACAGATTTCATGTTTTTTATTCATATATAAAACTGATCAACACATATATAAACTGAAACTCAAAAGTACTTTTTTGACGTGCAAGAACAATCCTCATTGTCTCTTGTGCATCAAGCACGTACGTTTGAAAAGGCCCAAATTAAATCTTTTCATCACGCTATATAAAGCAGTTGTGCCTGTTCAGATGAATTGGATTTAACCATTCGATTCATATGGATTACATTTCTTAATGACTTTTTGAAGCGTCAAATGTGAATGGACTTTCAATGGTATTTCAAAGATGAACAAAAGTCTTATAGATTTGGAATGACATGAGGGTGAGTAAACGATGACAGTTTTCATTTGAATAATTAATACTCCACAAATCTGTGAAGTCCATGTCAGCTTGAGTGATGCTGTTATTAAAGTAAAAAGGCACAAACAAAATACTTTCGAAACATTCTAAAATCCCTATAAACCACATTTTCACTTAAATATGATGCTGATAAACGAAATCTCTGGAGTCTGTAGGATAAAAGTCAGTTTGTTAGTAATATGCTAGTTCCCTTCCTGTTTTCCCACAGTTCACAGGAAGCCAATTACTGTGCTAACACGGCTGTTACATTTTTTTCCAAACATATGAACATGAGGGAAAAACGATTTGTGATTTAGCAATTAACAGCATCTATTTTAACAGCAGCAAGAGCTGCTCTGTACAGGCCAGTCAGAGTTATTGTTTAAAAACCCATGTCGCTTTAATGATATTCCATATGTAAATTATGCACATAACCTAAGTCATGTGACACACGGCCTGTTTGACTCTGCAGGGGCACACATCCAATTTCTCAACTTCACCTCTGAGGATAACCACGATTTTGTAGAGGTTCGCAATGGGCCGCACCACAGCAGCTCTCTGATTGGACAGTTCAGCGGAAGCCAAGTGCCGCCCCCTATACTGAGCAGCACTCACGAAACCGTCATCCACTTCTACAGCGACCACTCCGAGAACAGACAGGGCTTCAAACTCACTTATCAAGGTGGGTGACTTCCCAATCCGCCATTTGCATACCGCGCTCTCTTCTCCTGCAGACATCAGCCGTGCTTGATTTTGTATTGACCCTTCATGTGGGAGTGACGGCCTTTTACTAAGATCATTGGAAATATCTAAAGATTCACTTCCTTTGAGATCACTGGGAGGACACTCCATTATGACAGCCGGGGTCTTGAAAGCATTTTGAAATCAATAAGACGGTGCATTTGGATGTGCACTTGGATTCCACTCGATATAAATAACTTACCATTGTCTGGTCTCCTCGCTTGTAGGTCAAACAGTTCGTCTCTCTCTTTTCTTATCCACTCTAGTCTGAGTTGAAAAGAGCCAGGCACAGCCTTGATCTGTGCTGCCAGACGGGCTTTTGCGGGGGGGAATACTGATGCCGTGTTTTGATACACAAACAATGATGCAGGATGAAAGAATATGATTATAAAGCTGTTGATCATAAGCGCTGCACTTGTAATGCTGCCTGGAGATGCATGTGTGTTAGTTTGACAAGCTTTCTGCCACTTCACCACACTGGTGACGATACACAGAGATGAGCAACACCTTGCATGTTTAGCTGTCATAAACGCCTTAGCATAGTGTAGGCACTTTTGTGAATCTTTGTCATTTTATAGTTGATTGAGTGAATGTTGATTGATTTTATACATTAGGCTTTTATCGCACCATATATGATAATATGGGAAAACACACCTCAGTTTTATTCAGAGGCCCAAACTGAGCAAAAAATATGCAGTTTGGTGCAGATGCTGAGTAATTGTGGGGGACAAAACATATTGCAATGCGATACAATGATGGTTACATTACATTTACCATAATATTTCTAAACAAATTTGTATGGATAATCAAAAAACCTAAGTTGCTTCCATTCAGTAAGTGTTGAAATGGAAATATCACTAACAAAATGAAAGGCATTCTTATGTATATTTGAGAATAAACGTATACCACAACCTGAAGGTATAATTTTTTTTTTTTTTTAGAAGAAGGCCTTTTCCTTACTAAAAATATGTACTATCAATTAGCAGGCAGAATGCAAAGTTTTTCTGCAGGTTTGATCATGTTAATGATTTAGAGGCCTTAGAAATTCATGTATAAAATATGATGCACTAGGCCTTATATGATTATCTTTCTTATTTATTTATTTGTTTGTTTGTTTATTTATTTATCTTAGTTCATATCAGCTTGAGTGCTACTGGCATTAAAGAAAAGGAGAGACAAACAAAATCTGTTTAATTTCCCAATGCTAATAAACTAATTTGTGGTGAAAATATTTGATTTTTTATTTGTTTTACATTTTTTTACTTTTGGTTTCAGATATTTAGGGGGGAAAGAAGGTAAATAAAGAAATGAATAAATAAATGAACCCAACCATGAAATTTTGGTCATCACTTATTCATTAATATAATATTGTGTTTTTTCAGTGAAGCATAAAAATCTTATTGTATGTTTCACAAAATAAATTTGCATGGGTTTGAAATGGCATGAATTCAGTTCTTTTAATTCTTTTAAGTGGGCCCAACTAGTAAATATCATACTTCAACTTCCAGACATGGCTTTACAGATATTCATATATTCTGTTGTTGTTGTTTTTTTTTTTACTGTAGCATATGAATTACAAAACTGTCAAGACCCATATCCATTCCACAACGGGTATATCATCAACAGCGATTTCAACGCAGGCCAATCCGTAACATTTGAATGCTTCCCGGGATACGTGTTAGTCGGCTACCCTGTGCTAACATGCCAGCACGGAATCAACAGGAAGTGGAACCACCCCTTTCCTCGCTGTGAAGGTAAACGGAAGGGAAGAAAGTAATGTCCCTGTTAACATTTCTTTAAGTTTCTCAAGTTGTGTTGTGATTAGCACACAGTTATTTTCAGCCCTCTTTGCCCACACTTTGAAACCAAAAAACATGAATAATTCTGACTTGTTGAGACTTACAAAGGTATTATATTCTCCCAAATGTCTTTTTAACTATGCTCTTTAAGTGAAGTGTTACTACTTTGCATTACTAGTACAATAAGAGCCATTGTGTTTTAAACCCATCTTTAAAACAGACTTTGAAGACCTGAACAGTGGAGACATATGCTACTGGGAGCTGTTCTAAATTGTAGCCTTGATGATTAGCGTGGGTAGTGTAGTGTGAAATCCGACCTGTCTCTTATCGATCGGTCGCTCAGCGTGTTCCTCCTAGGCTTCCGTTTGCAGGGAATCTGCACTGCAAAGACTATTGGGCCATTTTTCTTTCTTTTTTATCATAACTGTGTTATTCTGTTGTGCCAGTATCTTCTATATAGCAGCCTCAGGAATGTTATGTTCTCTTCTTCAGTTTGCAAATGAAACCGTTCTGTCTACTATAGTAGTCTTTAAAAGAGAAGATGTGTATATTTTGCCAGTGTTTACGCACTCTTGTGTTATTTTTCCCCCGTATGACATTCTCCATACAACAACATTTCATAGTGACATCTGTAAAACTCAAAAGAAAAGTGCTATAAAAGTAGTCCATATGAGAATTATGAAAAATAACTGCATGAAAATTCTTAAATTCATCAAAAACAATATATAGATATATACATAAATATACATGAGAGTGGGTAAATAATGTCAGATAATGCTGTTACTGTTCTGATTTTGCTGGATTCCCTGGTGTTTAACATTAGCCGTTATTCAGAAAGACAGATTACTAATGCCGTCGTGGTTGAATGATGTTTATCTGCACACAGCTCCCTGTGGCTACAACGTGACGGCTCCAAACGGCACCATTTTCTCTCCAGAGTACCCAAATGAGTACCCAGACTCTCAGGACTGCACTTGGCTCATCACCGTGCCCCATGGTCATGGGGTTTACATCAACTTCACCCTGCTCCAAACTGAGCCTGTGACTGACTATATCGCTGTCTGGTGAGCGCAGCTCCATTTAACGAGTCGTTTGGCAAATATCAGCCTGAGATGAGGACAAGACAATTATTTAAGCTTTCAAACTAGACTAATGCTGCTATTATTGTCATACATCAAGCAAATCATTACGCAAATCGAGCTCCTCTTTGTTTACTGGCATTTGTAGTCTGTAGTCACTGTGCAAAGCGAGATTCCAAGAAAAGTTCAGATGTCTTTGAAGTTGTAAAGCTTTTCACTCAAAGCGTTGGGGTGATTCTTGTGAAAAACAGAAAAGAAAATAAAGCCTAATTTTACAACCGTTTTAGAAAAATGACAAAAACAGTTAATACCCTGTTATTAATATGGGGATATTAATAAGTTGCGATTCATTCCAAAACTACGGTCACACTTTATTTTAAGGTCCAGTTCTTGCTATTAACAAACCATTAACTATGATGGTTAACTTCTGTCTCAATAAACTACTATTTTGCTTTGCATTAATAATTAGTAAGGTAGTTGTTAAGTTTAGGATTAGGGATGTAGAATATGGTCATGCAGAATATGTGATTGTGTAAATATGTGACATATTTAGCTCTATGTGATAAATACTAATTGAAATACTTTTGTACTTTTGAAAGATGGCTCAACATGTTCTTGACCCAATTTCTTTATTTGAAACACCTTCATTTCTTTTACTAAAGTTACAGAAATAACTGAATGGAAATCTTGTTTCATTGAATCGTAGGTATTTTGTAATAATCACAAAGCGCAGAGCCGAATGTCATAATTCCCACTGAATAATCTGAAACGAGTTGATTAAAAAATGTGGAAATATGCATCTCCGGCGCTTTCCCAGTAATATTGTCCATTAATCTTCAAAAGCCATTAAACAAGCGGACTAGTCTAAGTCATCATTTTTGCTGTTTGCGTTCAAGCTGGTCTGTAATGTAATGCTTTTATTCAAAAGTCAGCACAATCTCACTGTAAATTTGGAAGTAAATCAATTTTCTCAAACCACTCGGAATTTCAAGGCATTATAATGCCGTTTAACGGCAGGATCACAGGTTGTAATGTAATTTCAAATGCGCGTTTCCTCTTCCAGGGACGGCCCAGAGCAAAGCTACCCGCAGCTGGGAATTTTCAGCGGCAACACAGCCCTCGAGTCAGCCTACAGCACTCTCAATCAGGTTCTTATCAAGTTCCACAGCGACTTCTCGACAAGTGGATTCTTTGTCCTTAATTTCCATGGTTAGTTTCTCCTTCAAATGAAAAATGTTGCCGCTGAAGTGCAATGCATACCATAAAGTGCCGCTTGAAATATATATTCGAAACATGGGATTCAACTTGTTTTTATACTCTAAGGAGGCATGACTGCTGCTTCTGATGACATCACGTTATTTCTGGAGATTAGAAGAGTCCAAAATAGCTTTCCTTTGGCCTCTTTGATATGAGTGTCAGCATGCAGGCATGTTGTTGAAAAGCATAGGAAGTGTGAAAATGAACCAGACTTTCATCTATACCTCCAAATTTAATTTCAGAAGAAGTCTGGCATATTTGCGAGTTATAGACGTGCGGTTTCAGTGCAGCTTTTATTCTTGAGAGGGCTCCCAGTATGTCGATGCATAGAATTGAATGTTGTCACATGTTGTATATGTAATTGATACTGTGAGTGGGTTGCCTTGTGTGAAATGTGTCATGCCTATAAAGGTGAACGAAGAGGCAAACTGCTTCATTTTTTTTTTTCCTTAGCTTATCGACTCAAGAAATGCCCTCCTCCCCCTACGGTTGAACAAGCAGAGATATTATTTGAAGACCAGGACTATGAAATTGGTATGAACAGCTGTCCACTTATGCAAGAATATCAAAGTCATGATTTTGACGGCTCCAAACGGCACCATTTTCTCTCCAGAGTACCCAAATGAGTACCCAGACTCTCAGGACTGCACTTGGCTCATCACCGTGCCCCATGGTCATGGGGTTTACATCAACTTCACCCTGCTCCAAACTGAGCCTGTGACTGACTATATCGCTGTCTGGTGAGCGCAGCTCCATTTAACGAGTCGTTTGGCAAATATCAGCCTGAGATGAGGACAAGACAATTATTTAAGCTTTCAAACTAGACTAATGCTGCTATTATTGTCATACATCAAGCAAATCATTACGCAAATCGAGCTCCTCTTTGTTTACTGGCATTTGTAGTCTGTAGTCACTGTGCAAAGCGAGATTCCAAGAAAAGTTCAGATGTCTTTGAAGTTGTAAAGCTTTTCACTCAAAGCGTTGGGGTGATTCTTGTGAAAAACAGAAAAGAAAATAAAGCCTAATTTTACAACCGTTTTAGAAAAATGACAAAAACAGTTAATACCCTGTTATTAATATGGGGATATTAATAAGTTGCGATTCATTCCAAAACTACGGTCACACTTTATTTTAAGGTCCAGTTCTTGCTATTAACAAACCATTAACTATGATGGTTAACTTCTGTCTCAATAAACTACTATTTTGCTTTGCATTAATAATTAGTAAGGTAGTTGTTAAGTTTAGGATTAGGGATGTAGAATATGGTCATGCAGAATATGTGATTGTGTAAATATGTGACATATTTAGCTCTATGTGATAAATACTAATTGAAATACTTTTGTACTTTTGAAAGATGGCTCAACATGTTCTTGACCCAATTTCTTTATTTGAAACACCTTCATTTCTTTTACTAAAGTTACAGAAATAACTGAATGGAAATCTTGTTTCATTGAATCGTAGGTATTTTGTAATAATCACAAAGCGCAGAGCCGAATGTCATAATTCCCACTGAATAATCTGAAACGAGTTGATTAAAAAATGTGGAAATATGCATCTCCGGCGCTTTCCCAGTAATATTGTCCATTAATCTTCAAAAGCCATTAAACAAGCGGACTAGTCTAAGTCATCATTTTTGCTGTTTGCGTTCAAGCTGGTCTGTAATGTAATGCTTTTATTCAAAAGTCAGCACAATCTCACTGTAAATTTGGAAGTAAATCAATTTTCTCAAACCACTCGGAATTTCAAGGCATTATAATGCCGTTTAACGGCAGGATCACAGGTTGTAATGTAATTTCAAATGCGCGTTTCCTCTTCCAGGGACGGCCCAGAGCAAAGCTACCCGCAGCTGGGAATTTTCAGCGGCAACACAGCCCTCGAGTCAGCCTACAGCACTCTCAATCAGGTTCTTATCAAGTTCCACAGCGACTTCTCGACAAGTGGATTCTTTGTCCTTAATTTCCATGGTTAGTTTCTCCTTCAAATGAAAAATGTTGCCGCTGAAGTGCAATGCATACCATAAAGTGCCGCTTGAAATATATATTCGAAACATGGGATTCAACTTGTTTTTATACTCTAAGGAGGCATGACTGCTGCTTCTGATGACATCACGTTATTTCTGGAGATTAGAAGAGTCCAAAATAGCTTTCCTTTGGCCTCTTTGATATGAGTGTCAGCATGCAGGCATGTTGTTGAAAAGCATAGGAAGTGTGAAAATGAACCAGACTTTCATCTATACCTCCAAATTTAATTTCAGAAGAAGTCTGGCATATTTGCGAGTTATAGACGTGCGGTTTCAGTGCAGCTTTTATTCTTGAGAGGGCTCCCAGTATGTCGATGCATAGAATTGAATGTTGTCACATGTTGTATATGTAATTGATACTGTGAGTGGGTTGCCTTGTGTGAAATGTGTCATGCCTATAAAGGTGAACGAAGAGGCAAACTGCTTCATTTTTTTTTTTCCTTAGCTTATCGACTCAAGAAATGCCCTCCTCCCCCTACGGTTGAACAAGCAGAGATATTATTTGAAGACCAGGACTATGAAATTGGTATGAACAGCTGTCCACTTATGCAAGAATATCAAAGTCATGATTTAAAACATGTTTAATTCTTCTTACTGTCTTACTGTACCATGCAGGTGACATTGTGAGGTATCGATGCTTTCCTGGATTTACATTGGCTGGCAGCGATGAGCTCACCTGTAAACTGAATTCTCACCTGCAGTTTGAGGGTCCACCACCAGTGTGTGAAGGTCAGTGAAGAACAAAACCTGTAGAAATATGCGAGATATTTATTTCAATATGGAAATACATAATATGGTCACACTTTAATTTGGGGACCAATTCTCACTATTAACTAACTATTAACTATGACTTCCCAGTTTATGAACTCCCAGTTTGCTGCTTATCAATAGTTAGTAAGGTAGTTTTTGAGTTGGATTAACAAAAAGCTTCAACTCACTTTGTTGCTTCCTCAAACCAAGGCTCACGGCCCCAGGAGAAGCAGTGCGCATGTTGGAGAAAGTTTTTCAACTTTACTCTTTTTACTGGAATACTCTGGAGCTTGCATCTTGTGCTTTGTTAGTAGGACAACCACATTGTGATTTGTAATAATAGCCATGATTCCTGTGAAATGCTATGTCTATGCTACAGCTCAGTGTCCTGCAAATGAGGAACGGTCTGCCTCCTCTGGTGTGATCCTGAGTCCAGGATTCCCAAAAAACTACCCCAACTCCCAGACCTGCTCCTGGATCATCAGAGTGCAGCCTGCCTTCACCATCGCCATTTATGTGGAAATGTTCCAGAGCGAGAAGCAGTTTGACGAACTGGAGATCTTTGATGGTAGATTCTATTCTATTCTATTCTACTAACAACAACACTTCATAACACAAATATATGTTTGGAAAAATCATTTGTGAGCCATTTTGACCAGTTTTAAAAAGTAAATGCTTACTATTAAAACAAAAGGTCAAACCAAGAACTGAGACAAAAAAAGCGTTATATTTAGGAGGCATGCTTAAAGGGATATAGTTCACCCAAAAATAAAAATGTACTGTTAATTTACCTTATGTTAATGGCCCCTCAGGCCATCCAAGATGTAGGTAAGTGTTTTGTTTTTTTTTTGTTTTTTTCTGAAGTAGGGCAATAAAGAACATTTTTAGCTGAAACTGTGGTCCTTGGTGTTTCACAAAAAGTCAACAGCTACCATCACTTTGAGAATCAAAAAATCATATACAGGCAATACAAAATTAATAACTGTGGCTCCTGATGATATATTGAGGTCTTATGAAGAGAAACGATCGGTCTGTGCAAGAAACTGAACATTCTTTACATCATTATTACCTCAGTTCAGTAAAAGTTCGGATTCGGACCAAAGAACTGATTAGCTGTTGATACCTGCATGCATGAACTGAGCACTTGAATGAATGGGACGAAATGAAAGTTTTTATGGTTTCAAATTGAATTTTCATTTTTGTGTGAACTATCCCTTCATAAAACTTCATAAGATCATACAACTTTCACATTTTATTATATGTGTTTTAGAGAATTTCTGAAGATCCTCAAGGAACCAGCCAAGTGACAGGAAAAACAGTGTAGTGTAAACAGTTGTGATGACTAGGTTGAATTTGGATATGCTGATTTGATCAAAGGTGGCACTTGGCTTGAAAAGTTTGAGAACCACTGCTCTATGACATTTACTTCTTCCTAAAGTCACGTCTGTCTTGTTGCTGCCCAACAGATTTTTGGTTTGCAATATTTAGCTTTTCTTGTTGTTTTTGTGATGTTTTATTTACCAGGGCCATCTGGACAGAGTCCGTTGCTGGTGGCTTTGAGTGGGAACCACTCCACACAATTGAATTTCACTAGCAAAACAAACCAGCTTTACCTCAGATGGTCAACTGATCATGCAACCAGCAAGAAAGGCTTCAAAATACGCTACACAGGTTTGTTAAACATATTTCACCATTTCATGTTTTTCATGGATGCATCCAGAATTAATGTAGGTTATTCTTAAAAACTTGGAAAAAACAAAAGACTTATTTAGCACAAAACCAGCAACACTTGTAGAAAGGAGAAATCAGAGAATAAAATAAAATCTTTACTCTTTTAGTCCTGATGAAGGCAGGATCAGAATGTGTTGTCAAATAAATACAGAGTTCTGGCATGAAACACTAGATGGCGCAATCCAATAGGTCTAACTCAATCTGACCCAATGAGATCATTATCACATGGCACAGCTGATTGGTTATCTCCTGTGTCGGTAGCCAATGAGCTGCTGCTCAACATTAAAATATATGACTAGTGCTTGCTGTAGCAGTTGCAGCTTGCACTGTGGATGTATTGGCGGTAGCAAGTCTCGGTACGTGTTCTGCCGCAGCAGCAGCATAGCAGATCTATTTTGCCAAGACCAAATACATTAACATTGTCATGTACATTACCATGCGAGTTGTCATGACAGAAAGACAGTTTTTTTTTTCCCTCTAGCTCCATTTGTTTGATTCCACATTTGATGCATCCAGGCATTTAAATCAGGAATACATTTACAATTCTTTCTAATTAGCCTGTTGGTACATTCAATAGTATGTAATAATATGTGCCTCAGATTAATTCTCACCATTTAGCCCTCCAAGGTTGTTGCTTTGGATCCAAATGGGTCAATAAGTAAAAAAGTCAGCTTTTTCTAAGTTGGCCCTCATTAGGCTAGAACCAGACACGTCCTACCTTCAGGGAGCCATTGGCAAGTCTGCTGTAATAGAGGTCAAAGATGCAGTAATGAATTTAACTGAATAACTACCATGTCGTATGCTTCTGACCAACATTTCCACCAATGGCTAAACATGATATATGGGCTGCAAAGCCAGTGGCCATGGTTACTCGGCATCTCTTCACTCGTTCCCATTTCTCTGTCTCTCTGTCAGCGTTTCTTGCTCTCTGTGTTCATTTCAGTTGATCTTTCTGACATACGATGCCCTATGCAGGCCCATTTTTCCAGTGTGTTGCCACATGTTTCCTGTTTATTGGATTTTGTCAAGAGTAGACAGAAAGAGAAACCATTATGTCGCTCGGAGGAACTGTGTTTTCTAAACCTCTGAGTGGCTACTGTGTTTTTAGATTTTTGATTTTAAATAATTACAGGAAGTAGGTAACGCTTTTTGATAAATATAACACTGTTATCTCTATAAAGCATCTTTGAGAAGCAACTTCAAGCCCCTCCTTGTTTTTCCCGCCTTTCTTAGTCGTTTGGGCTTTCAGGGTAAAGAAAATTAAAATTCAGTGCCACATGGATGTTTTTTTTTTATGCTAGGTCTAGTTAATCACTCACAGCTAAGTCTAAACCTCTCAGCAGAGTTGGTGTGATGATGCATTTGATTTGATCTGTCTGAAGTGAGATTAAGCTTTGACATCCCTCGAGCTTCTGCTTTCCTTTTTATGATGGGTAAACTTGTATTTGTGTCACATCAAAAACAAGATCTAATGATCTGTTCATAACCATCGAGCTGCACTTTCGTTTTATCTCAGAATCAAGCTTAAACACAGTTTTAAAGACCTCCATGTTTGAGTTGCTTTTAGTCCACATCACATAGTTTTGAATCCAAATGGCCGTGTACCACCATAAAAGTTGACTGAATTAACTTGGCAGACTTTTTTCTTGTGATGAAATGGACCAAAAATATGGATTACTCTTAGATTTAATTTTCTGTGCAATAAAAAGCTGCCAAAGAAGTGGAGAACTGGTTTTGCTTCAGGACGCAGATTTTTGCATTGACCAGCAAAATACTTGTTTATTGTATAGAAGTAAATGGCATGTCAACAGTTTTTAATCAGTATGCCTTGTTTACCAGCAAAAATTTCCTTAAGAAATATATTTAGCCTAGTTTCAAAGGAAATTCTAACAGATAAGGTCCCGTAAGTGTGTTATTAATGCGTAAACTGTGTTTATATCTGAAAAGTGGGCAATGTCATTATCATCACACACAAAAATCTTCACATTACACTAAAATCCTCATAAAGGTTAAAAAGTGCACATAGACAAAAATGGTTTGAATAAGTTACAATTTTCAATAACCCTGAACATCATACTATAACAAACTGTGTTTGTTACCGTCTCCCACAGCTGCGTACTGCAGTGTGAACGATCCACCCAAGAATGGAGGAGTCATCAATAGGGCGAGAGATCGGCTAGGCAGCAGGCTCCAGTATTACTGCAACGCTGGTTACAGGCTTGTGGGTCACAGAAATGCTACATGCAGACTTCATCCCAGTGGGCTTTACCAGTGGGACAATCCGGCCCCACTGTGCCAAGGTAACTCACACTCGGCAGAGATATTCACTGGCTCATTCTCCTCATTTAAATGACTGGGAATTGCCTTGAAAAGGCAACCTGCCTCCTCGCGTATGAAAAAATGTGTCATTCTGCGGGGCGCTCAAAAGCACCTCCCCACTCCTCGACGAGAAGCCGCTTTTATTCCATTAAACACTTCCGTTGAGGACTGTGCAATGAGATCACGAGTGTCCTTTGTCCCAATGTCATAATGGGTGACTCTTCAGTCACGCTAAGACTAAGACAGAAATGTAATTTAATGTGTTTGATGTGTCGCGGGTTCTCTTAATTTCATTGTTCATGCTTCCTTCTCTGCTCCTTCCTCTTTTATTGAGGTGCTAATTTTATCCTTCAGCCTACGTGGCGTTTTGTCCGCCCTTTCTCCTTTCGCACTCCGAGCCCTCGTGTCTTCTGTTCCAGAGCATTGTCAAAGAAAATGGTCTCTTCTGGAGGTTTCATTAGCGAGACGAGTCATCCATCAGACGTACACTTGCATAAAAATAGTGAGCGAATGAACAGTATGTAGGCCTAATTGTTCCAGCTGTTATTTGTGCAAGTTTAAGGCAGGTTAAGAGATGAGGCTGAGATGATTATATAACGATTAAGTATATTGCACTTTTCATGAATAATGTAGGAATAATAGGGTCTAAAACTTTTAAAAGAAAGTCATTGATGTTTTTTTTCTTTTTCTTCTCTTTCTAACAAATATTCTGTGAAAGAAGATGTGCTTAACCTTGAGAAAATGTTGACCATTAACCTCAGGAGGTCAAACTAAAAAGGAGCTTTTTTATTTTTTATGTGAGGTTTGCAATTTTTTCAACTCTGTTATGAAAGTGAGTAATAATTAATTATTTTTGACTTTTCAGTCTGAGTTAAATCTCTTTTTTGGCTAATTTTTTATGTAAAAGAAAACCTGCTTAATTAATAATTATGCACACCTGAAAATGAGTTTTTCCAGCCTTCATGGACAATTATAAATCACTTATAAATGATTAAATACAAAATTAATAGTAGTTAGTAAGATTGATGTGGTCTGGAATTGGTAAAATGTGATTGGAAAAAAAAAAATATGATCAAAATATCAACTTGCATAATAATTATGCACGCATAATACATGGAAATTTGCCAGTAGTCATCATTATCTACTAGGCAGTTGTTATTCTTTTGAGTTGACTGGAGTATCTGTTATCAATTCTGTCACGGTTGCCTACTGTTCGGAGCGAGGAACGAGGAAACGAGGAATTTCACACAGAACAGTCTTTAATGATCCACAGGAAGAAACACAGGGTAGCCAGAAGTCACACGTAGCACAACGACGTTCAGAACCAACAAACACAGACTGCACAGACAGGAGCTAAATACACAGGATAATTGGGAAGACACAGGTGTACGGGATGACCAATTAAACTAAACGAGGACAGGAACATGACCAAATAATGGAACAGAAGCAGGGGCAAAACATGACACAGACAGTCCATGATCCTGACATATATGACCCATATATGCATCTTTAGGATATTATTAGGTAAAGATCATGTTCCATGAAGATATTTTGTAATTTTTCTACTGTAAATATATCAAAACTTAATTTTTGATTAGTAATGTGCATTTCTAAGAGCTGCATTTGGACAACTTTTCTCAATTTCTTTTTTATTTGTTTTTTGCACCCTCAGATTCCAGATTTTCAAATAAATTCATCTCAAAATATTGTCCTATCCTAACAAATCATGCATCAACAGAAAGCTTATTTATTCACATTTCAGATGATGTATAAGTGTCAATAAAAATTTTTAAAAAAGGACCCTTATGACATTAAAACTGCATCCCTGTTAGCACACAGCTCTTATGTCATGGGCAGGTGTGCTATCCAGTCTCAGACCATTCTAGTGAATGAAAAACTTCTGCTGACTGCTGCCCAAAAATGGTGCCCAGGGCCACACTTAAATTCTGTCCTTTTAAGGATGTTTCACAAAGATGCCAGCCAAACTTTCTATAAATTTAACAAGCAAAGATTTTACTCATGGAATCTCATTACTCTTAATCACACAAAGGTAAAAGACACCATTCCAAGGACTGGAAGTTATGGCACTAATATTCTTTTACCATTGCACGCACCTCAGAATAGCTCTGGCTAGGCCCCATTTGTATTGAAGGGCATCTAGAACGGATGCTAATTAAGGCCAATAATTTCTTTAAGTGGTGGGAGCGATCCATGCAGTCTGCCAGCAGGTCAGTCTGAGGTAGAGGAGGGCTCAGGGCTTGATTTTTATTCAGGTTGTGATCATTTTAACAAGGAAGAGTTTTAATTGGTCCCATTGCTTTCCTCTGTGTGCCTGGCTCATTTTTTAGAGACCCCCTTCATTTTTCTTGTTTAAAAGAGCCAATTCCATATATGAATGTTTGCATGTAATAGAGGTCTGCTACCTGACGCGAGACCAACGGGACCTGACTGACCAACAGGTTTTAACGGGTTTCAAGTTCTAGTGACACGCTACAATAAAGTCCCATTGTATCAGTTTTGTTCATTGTTATTTAATGTTAAACAATGTAGTGAACTCATGTTAACAAATTAAACCTTACTGTAAAGTGTTTTGCAACATATTGCATCAGATTTCGATCAGGTTTGGGTTTGTAATAAATAAATAAATAAAAATATTTTCATAATGTTTTATGGTTCTACCACCTTCAGGTGTTCCTGCAAAGCTCCTACTTCCAAGCTATATATGTGACCCTGGACCACAAACCCAGTCTTAAGTCGCTGGGGTATATTTGTAGCAATAGCCAAAAATACATTGTATGGGTCAAAATTATAGATTTTTTTAAATACGAAGTAAAGATCATGTTACATGAAGATATTTTGTAAATTTCCTACCATAAATATATCAAAACTTCATTTTTGATTAGTAATTTGCATTGCTAAGAACTTCATTTGGACAACTTTAAAGGCAATTTTCTCAGTATTTTTATTTTTTTTTGCACCCTCAGATTCCAAATTTTCAAATAGATATATATCGGCCAAATATTGTCCTATCCTAACAAACCATACATCAATGGGAAGCTTATTTATTCAACTTTCAGATTATGTATAAATCTCAATTTCGAAAAATTGACACTTAAGACTGGTTTTGTGGTCCAGGGTCACATACAGGTATATGGTTGTATTTCTATATATGCATAAAATCTAGAAACATATCAGAAACATTGTGCACATAATGCATGGAAATGTTAAATTAATCCAGTATGTAAAATGTTGATACTGCATTCAATATTCAAAATAATGAATAAAAAGGGTAATATATATTTTGCTTATTTTACTTATTTAAACTTTTAAATCTACTATGCTTATTTATTATTATCATTATGAAAATCAAGTATTTAGTTTCATCATAGTCCATAATTCACACTTTAAAAACACAAAATGTATAGCAAAAGCAAAAAAGGAGATGAAAAAAACACAATATATCCTTTACTTTAAATGAAAAATTATGTAAATCACCTGTTCAAATTTATTTAGCATTAGTTTTGAAGAAAATGTTTTTGTTGCGACTTCCTGTGTTGCTGCTCATGTTGCGCTTTTTCTAGAAAGTCAAGTCAGGAGTTGTTGCATGTATTTGAATAGAATGAGAGTTCTATTTATAGATGCGCTGTATAGCACGTATCCACCTGTAATGCTGTTTGTGTCTGATTGGCAGCTGTGTCTTGCGGAGCACCAGAGTCTCCTGCTAATGGGTCGTTCCACGGCTTCCAATACACAGTGGGCAGTGAGGTGCAGTACCAATGCGAGGAGGGCTATAAGCCTGACGTGAGCAGCCTGCTCACCGCCGTCTGCCTGGAGGATGGCACCTGGAGCAACGTGGCACATCCTACCCGTTGTTTACGTGAGCAAATCAAGCCCTCTGTTTCTATGCCAACTGCATGTTAAAATCTACCGCCTCATTGAACCGCCGCTTTCTCACTCGGTTCCCCCTCTGAGAGTAATGTAGGGCAGGTAATTGGCAAAATTAACAATAATGACTTGATTTTTTTGTGGTTTGGCAACTCAAACAAGACAAATGGTATGATGTGGCATGTCCCCCCTCTGACCTGAATTACCATTAGCCTACAAAGCCGACTAAAGAGCCCACAGCCAAATAACCGTGTATTATGCATTCAGAGGTCACGGCGAGAAAGACGCTCATTACAGCCGATGTTGCTACAGATAATGTCATTTAATATTATGATATTCCTCATCATCGACGGAAAGGAACCCTGCCCTGCTCCGTAACACTATGTCAAGGTGTTCTTTCATTCTAGAGCTTTCAGATGATAGTATGACACATCCACGGTGTCTGAGACTAGCTGTATGCTACAGCACTCGAGATGTTTGTAATTATCTAAGCAAGTGCGAGCTGAGGGACGTGAAACCTTTGTCATGTAGAACATGGGGAGAGAACATTATGTGAGAGATAAAGGCAGGGGGAGGGAAAGATGTTTTGGTCTACTTAAGATCTTGTTTAGTATACCTGACCTAGCTTGCGAGCCTTTTTTTTTCCCTCAAAGTTTGATGCGCCCGCACCAAATTATGCTTCTTTTGAATCCGAGCTATGCACTGTGCTGTTCAATCAAAGGACCATCTGTTCCGTGCTGGCTGCAATATTGTTACTCTGAAACCACTTCAGTTTTCAACCACCTTTATATGCACCTTTATAACACACAAGACAAATCAACCACATTTTCCAATCTTGAATGTACTAACGAAATGAAACGAAAGAGTGAAAACTCTTTCAAACATTGCTCTCTTTGTTTAAAGTCAGTCCAAGATTCTCAACCAATGGTGTGAGTTTATAGAACAATGGCGAATGTGAAATGTGTAATTTTATCCTCAATGACAAAAATTGAAAATTGACAATTTGGACACAGCTTATGGGATGCTTTTTAAATCGCATATTCTGGACGTTTGTTGGCTACTCATTCATTTTAAATGTAGAAAATTGACATTTGGTAACACTTTATAATAATTTTCAAATATTATATAATGCTTAACAGATCACATATTCAAAAAGCTACAAACATGAGATAATTTACTTAATTAATGTTTACTAATAAACTTATTAAACATTACCTTACAGATCATTAATTCATGTAAATTAAATTGCTTACAGATGTCTTTAAACTTTAGGCTCATGTACTTTGATGTTATACAATGATTAAATGCTGTTGAGGATTATTGTATAATCATTGTATAATTCTGTGTAGATTTGTAGAAAGTACATGAGCGTAACGTTTAATGACATTTTAACTAAAGATCCGTTAAGCATTATATAATGTTTGTTAATGATTTATTAATGACGTTTTTACTCATTTGTCAAAATCATTTGAAGATTTCTAAAAAGTGCCCGATCATATGAATTAAAAGTTTAATGGTGTTTGTAAGCATTTCAATTTACATTAAATGATGATCTGATAATCATTAATGTTTAATTAGTACATTTGTGAACTCTAACGAGCACATTATCTCATATTTCTAGCTGTGCAAATTTTAACTAATGAATCTGTTAAGCATTATATAATTTTTGTCAATGATTTAATTATGAAAGTGTTATGTTTTAGTGCAATGTAATTTCAAGCACGTAAAGCAGCCTTTGAGAAGCATGCATTCAGTCAAGTGTGTCCTAACTTTTCACTGGTATTGTATATCTATCCCATAATTCCTGCTGTAAGCTCTAGTTATTCCAGTTCTAGGACCCACAAGGTCATGGTTTTCCATTAATGCATTCTTTGCCTTCTGTCCTGCAGCGGTTCAGTGCCCTAACATTGAGAGCATGCTCTCAGAACACATGGTGTGGCGTCTCATCTCAGGCTCGCTGAATGAGTTCGGTGCACGACTAATGCTGAGCTGCTCCCCGGGCTACTATCTGATGGGCAGGAGGACCATCAAATGCTTAGCTAATGCAACATGGGAAGGGCTGGAGGAGAAGTCTACCTGCAAGAGTAAGAATGCTTTTACACAAACACAACGAGACGCACATACTTTTTTGTCCATTTTGGAACTTGGGTGGATAAATCAGCATCCACTTTCATTGTATGGGAAAAAGGAAGTTCTGTCTGGCATCTTTTGTGAAAAAAGAAATTTCAAGGAAGAAAGAAAATCACATGAAAGTGAATAATTAACGATAACATTTCCAATTTGGGCTGAACTATTCCTTTAAGAAGACCCCACAAAAAAGCACAACTGAATTCCAAATTCTGCTCTTGGGATTTCACGAAAAGATCACTGTGTTAATTACCAAACAGCATCCATTGTGCGCTAATGAAACAAATTCATTAGGGTAGCTAATATGTCTGAAATCTGGCCGCTCTCTATACCACGTCTCGTTTATTTCTCCACTGATCCAAGCGTAATCCTCTGGATTTAGCATGCGTGCATAAGACGCCATCCACTGCTTAGTCAGTTCTGATCGTGGCCCGGTTTCCACCGCTGGGACAGGCTGTGTAAACAGTATCACGGTGATTAAGTCTTCGGTGAAAAATGCTTTAAGTAATTCGAGGTCAGAGAGCAAATGTAAATATTCTAATCAGAGGCAGCTTAATTTATAATGTGTTTACGCACCATGATGAGTAAGTTGTTAATGAAAGGAACAGATGCAAACAGCTGGGGCTTAAATTGTAATTGGACTTCTTAAAATGTCACAAAATAAATGTGTGTTGATTGCATGACTAGTGCATGCACATAACAATGCATTAGTGTTGTTTGCTAAGCATCGCTATTACTGTTGCTCATTCTTAGGGTTATGGATTTGAACAAATTCTTAAGTCCAGGTATGAAATCTTGTGTATTTAATCCTGTATCGTTAGTACTACAGATGAGAAATAAAACCTCACATTGTGCGTATTGTTGAATAAAGAGATTTAGTAACCAGATTTATGATTTTCACCTGTAAGACAAATATACAATCTTATAGGCTTACACTGAAGCAGGAATATGAGCTGTATCTTGATACCAGAGACTGTCACAGACACTTTGAGGTGGCCTCTTTTGTTCAGAAACCCCACAGAACACCTTAGCATGTGGTAAAAAAAAAAATGCATAGCAACACGCTGACACTCAAAACTCCCTAGCATCCTGGCAAAAGTTTTAAATGGCCAATCACTGCTCACATTTCCTTCAGAAAATGCAAGAATCTAGTGGTAACATTTCATTTTAAGGACCAATTCTCACTATTAACTAGCATGCATATTACTATCATGTTGGTTGTTAATTAGCACATATTAATGCCTTGTTCTGCATTACCATATTTTAGGTCCCTTAATACTGCCCCACACCTAGACATAACAACTACCTTACTAACTATTAATAAGCAAATAGGCAGCAAATTAGGAGTTAATTGAAGCAAAAGTTGTAGTTAAAGCAGCACTATGTAACTTTTGGCTCTCTAGCGGTTAATAAACAGAACTGCACACATCCCGCGGAAGAACATTCCAACCGGAGCTACTTGTCTAAGTTTATGTCTATGACGATTCACTCAGGTATGTGTTACTCAGCAGCGGTGACGACCTGACCAGGCTACAATAGTCCAAATATAAGTACTTATTATAAGTGTACCGTAGTGATTCGGAATAAGACAAAAACGCGGTTTGGAAGATGAATTCATGATGTACTCGCTCATTATATACATTTTGCAAATTTTGAACACAGAAAAAGTTACATAGTGCTGCTTTAATAGTTAATCATGCATGGGAGCTGGACCTTAAAATAAAGTGTGACCAATCCAGTTTACATAATCACTAAAAATCACTTTGATTTTTTTTTGTTCCAGTTCACTTACAGTTCTTCTTAATTTCTTAATTTGCAGTTGTTCTTAATTTACTCTAATTAACTTATTAAGTGTAAATGAAGAGTTTAGTTCCAAAACGCTATAAATTCATTTTGATTAATTTGAGTAAAAATGTGTTTTCTTTACCAAGAAAGTGGCAAGATGAAAACCACTATTTTCTGTTTCAATCTTTCACATAGCATATTTAGGTAATAATAACATTAAAAATTCAAATCCAGATTTTGATTTTCAAAGATTTATTATAAAAACTGATAATTTTTTCCCCAAAATGCAATAAATTGTTGAATCAATATAAAAGTTATTTTTCATACACAACAAAGTTGATCCACATATGACAGCCTCTGAACCTGGTCAATACTAATCTTATTAATAGCTTACGTTTCTTCCCCACCACAGGTTCATCAATGCCGTCAAAATTATTCATTTTTTTAGGGCTGCACCATAAATCACATGCGATTGTCACTTGCATCTTGATTAGTAGTAAATCTCCATCACGTGCTTTCAGATGGAGCGGCATTTAATACACAGAGCCGTAGATCACTGACAAGCAGCGCAATATCGCGTTCATAATCGAAGGCGATTCATCTGTGATTATGAACGCAATATTGCATTGCTTGTCAGTTACTGTCTACAATGCGTGGAATGGTGCGCTGTGATTGGTTGAGCCGAGCGGATGTATCGCATTCTGCAGAGAAGGGAGACTGACGTTTGTCGCGGTTTGGAAAGATAGGGAGAAAACATGACAGAATAACACGGCGGATATCGCATTTTCTGTAAAATAAAAAATTGACTTTTCAATACTGACCAGATACAATACTGATTTTGGCAGGAAATATATATATTTTTTTTAAATGGCGTTTTTTCGCGTTTTGGAACCAAACAAATATACCAAATATACCATGTAGTCTCTTATCAATCAAACTATTGTAAACAATTAAAAGCTATTTAAAGGTTTGGTAACACTTTAGTATAGGGACCCATTCTCACTATTAACTAGTTGCTTAGTAGCATGCCTATTATTAACATATTTTACGTGACCATATTGTACATCCCTAATCCTACCCAATACCTAAACTTAACAACTACCTTGTTAACCAATAATAAGCAGCAAATTAGAAGTTTATTGAGGCAAAAGTCTTAGTTAATTGTTTGTTAATATTGAGAATTGGACCTTAAACTAAAGTATGGTAGAAAAATGGTTTAAAATGGTAGAAAATGTCCCTAATATATTTATGTATGTTTTAACCTAAAGTCTTTATTTTTGATAAAACAAAAAAAATCAAAACAAAACAAAACAAAATAAATGTATGTACATGCTATTTGACAAATCATATCAGTAGTGTAAATAGTGTAAATACCATTGAAATGTTTATATGATTATCTTTATGAAACTAGAATTGTATGTAGGTATTTAAAGCATGACAATAAACTAAATGTTCAATTTCATTTCCATTTGTATACTTCCATTTGTTTTATTTATATATATATTTTTTCTATACTACATTGTTTAAAAAAAAAAAGAAGTGAGAAAACAGTAGTAATAAACAGTAAGTAACAAAGAGTGTCCAAACTTTTGACTGGTAGTGTACTTCTATTACCCTTGACATGTCCACCAGTATAAAAACACATCTGTTTCGCTTTTAGCCATGCCCCCTTCACCCCTCCATTTCCTGGTAACTAGTAGTCACTGTGAATAAGAATGGCATATTGTGTCCACCATCACCAATGTGACCTTTTTTCAGCTAAAATTACCATGTGTATTCAAGATATTGCATTGGCTATTTCCTCCAGTCATTTCCTGTGGGGAGCTTCCATCCCCTCCTAATGGCAAGAAGATGGGCACCCTGACTACCTATGGCGCCACAGCTATCTTCATGTGTAACACAGGGTACACTTTAGTGGGCTCGCACGTGAGGGAGTGTCAGGCTAACGGTCTCTGGAGGGGAGATGAGACCAAATGTCTGGGTAAGTAGCATCTTTCAGCGAGGCTTCTGTGATCGGACGTTATTATTACTGAACCATTCATGTGTAGAGAAAAGCAAATCTGTTTACTGGATGTTTTCCTACTCTATTATATTATGCTTGTATAGTTCTAGTTATTGTACAGCACTAAGAACAATGTGATTTCCCTAAGTAGGACATGTTCCTGGAAAAAACATCCTTTGTTAGTCCCAGAACAACATTCTTATCAGACATTCACAGCTCTAACCCTAAATTGACATAGTCTTGTGTTGCCAATATTAATTTATGGCTTATGTAGTGCTAGATAATACTGGAACTAGGGAAAAATCCTTGAACAAGCATTGAGATCAGCTAAACTAAGATATGCCACTGTGTGATGATCAGCGCTGACCCTTAGACACATCACCTGCTGCTTGACCAAACAGCACGGAGGGCCTTTCATCGAAGTGTCAAGCGGTTACTGCCGGAGCGCTCTCTGGACATGCTGTGGTGCTGATGTGTCTGTGCTTCATGCTCCATTAAATGCCTAGTTTGAATTTGTGTTTGTTTAGTAACAAGAATTGATATTCATGAGAGGTTTGTTGATTCTGACCACTTTTGAAAATGTTTTTCAGCTGGTCATTGTGATTCTCCGGATCCGATTGTTAATGGCCACATCAGTGGTGATGGATCTAGTTATAGGGACACGGTCGTTTATCAGTGCAACCTGGGCTTTCGACTCATAGGGACGTCAGTTCGTATCTGCCAACAAGACCACAGATGGTCAGGCCAAGCACCTGTGTGTGTTCGTAAGTGTCTTTTATTTATTTATTTATTTATTTATTTATTTTAATTAATTAATTTATTTATTTTTGTATTATTCTTTTTTTAATGAATACATTTCTGGGTCTGTCTAAGGTCTGTCAGAATATTCAAATGTTTAGTTAGATTAATTACTTACGTGTTTTATATAATAATTAAATCAAGTCACGTCTAATTCATTTATATAGCGCTTTTCACAATATGCATGGTTTCAAAGCAGCTTTACAGAAAATCATGATGTTAATGTTTATAATGTTTATATGTTAATATCTGGGAGATTATATAATCGCTGGGGTATATTTGTAGCAATGGCCAAAAATACATTGTATGGGTCAAAATTATTGATTTTTCTTTTATGTGTGGTGATACAAGCAATCAAGCAGTTGAATAGTAAAAAGGTTAATAAAAAAAAATCAGGTAGTTGAGATATTTCCAACTTTATATAGAAAGCTGTGACATAAAACAGTTTTTGTGACAATATCAACAAACACAGCTGTGATTTGCTATATATTGCTTTACATACTGGATATATGCAGTTAAAGTAGGATGTACTAAATATCAACTTTTAATATATCGATGGGCAATAATACATTTTACATTTACATTTTTTGACGATATTAGAAGCAGTTGAGATTTGATCTAGTATATGCTGCCTAATTTGTGTATGCTGGGTTGGGTAGACTTATAATAGTTGTATAGATGTGTTATTAATTATTAATGTCAGTAATTTAACTTATTATTTTGTTATCTGGTGATCTTGATTAATTTCAAGATTATTATCTGATTATTTGCAGAAGAAAGCATTAATTTAAAATCGTGTCAGTAACAATTCAGTATAGAGACCAATTCTCAGTATTAACTAGTTGCTTATTAGCATGTCTATTATTAGTACTTATAAAGCACATATTCTGCATGACCATATTTTACATCCCTAATCCTACCCAATACCTAAACCTAACAAATACCTTACTAACTAATAATAAGCAGCAAATTTGGTTTGTTAATAGCGAGAATTGAACCTTAAAAAAAGTGTGACCAAAGTGTCTTTAAAAGTCTTGTTTTTCTTTCTTTTTAAATAATAAAAAGTAACGTTTAATTTACAACACTACTTTTTAAGTAAAAAAAATTGTAACTTCAACATATGCACAAGCCCTTTCAGCAACTTCAAAAAGGAAGTGATTGACCATTCTCGCTTTCTCAACAGCTATAACCTGCGGCCATCCTGGAAACCCTGCAAACGGTCGGACAAACGGCAGCGAGTTTAATCTCAACGACGTGGTCAACTTCACCTGCAACACAGGCTATTTGTTGCACGGTGCATCCAGAGCGCAGTGTCGAATGAACGGACAGTGGAGCAACCCTCTACCTGTGTGCAAGGGTATGAACCTTTCAATAAACACGATTTTACTGTATATCAAACATTTCCAGGCAGCCTGTCCCTTGTTGAGAATCTCAGCGGAGACGCAGCCTTGAACACCGTCTTGTTATGCGAGAAGCTCCTTAGTGAGGCTGTTTAACACCCACAACTCATGGGCTTAGCATTAACAGAGCGAAACCAGCATCTGTGCTCAGCAGTCTTAGTCAGCCAGTGAATGACAAGAAGCAATGTGCAAATAATTCTCTGTGTGTCATTTCCCATCTTGAAGTGTCGATTTGAAAGTCAAATGGGTCTGCAGCAACCCGTGTGACATTGTGGGATGCTTTCTGACATTAAGTAGGAGTAACTATGCACATCTTGTCACTTTAATGATTAATTAATGTGCGAAGGAAGTTGTTGATGGTGGCCTGGTGAAATTGAATCGTGACGGAAAATGGAGGCAGGTCAACTCTTCTAAGATGGACAATTCCCCACAGGCTGAGCCAGAGCCCAGGGACGAAGCACTCAGCAGGGAGAACTGCTGACGTTCATCTGAGCGGATGCATTGTTCCATGAAACAAGTCCAACATTGAGTTGATGTGAGCTTAGAAACTAACTAGACATTTTGTATGGCCAGTTTAATAGTTTTGACTAAACCATGTAGAAAAAGGACATTTATTATTGGTATAATTGTAAGCTTATTATTATTTAATTGTAAAAAAAAAAAAAAAAAAAGGTAGACATGCACAAATGCACGAAAGATGTGTAGAATTAAATGAAAAGGGTAGAATTCTAATACATAGTTGTTTAAGAGGAAAAACAGTCATATACAATTACACAAAAATAGAAACTGTAACGCTTTAGTTTAGGGACCAATTATCATTATTAAATGTTTGCTTATTAGCATGCTATTAACAAAAGTCATAGTTAATGGTTTGTTAATAGCGAGAATTGGACCTTAAAATAAAGTGTAACCAAAAAAAAAAAAAACAAGTAGAATGAACAGGAAGGGATATGTTCGGTTCACTTAGTTTTGTCGTGGCCATGACATATTAACATGATAATATGTCGTGGCCTCGAGATGCTATGTTGAGGGAACGACATCCATTTCTCGTGGCCACGACTTCTTATGTTGAGGGAACGACATATTTTTCTCGTGGCCATGAGTTAAATGCGTAAACAAACCTGCGTGGCCATAGCAACCCGGGATTATCAGAGATGGTTTTCGTAATATTTTATTTTGAATTAAGAAATTATTATATTAAATATTATTGAAATGATTAGATTATTAAATTATTAAATTATTATATTAACCATAGGCCTTGGCTACCGGACTGTATTGCACGTGATGTAGACAGCTTCGAATTAAGTTTATTGTGAATAAATGTTACATAAAATAGGATTACAAGAAAACATTTTTATCACGAGTTAATATGACGTTCCCACAAATTAATATCGTGTGTCCACAACATATTATCACGTTACCACGAGTTAATAAGTCGTGGCCACAACAAAAGAACCGAACATGAACACCGTAATATACCAATGAAAAAGCTAGAATTCTAATATACAGTTGTTTAAAAGGTAAAAATGTCATACCGTTACACTAAAGGTAGAACTGTTAAGAGAAACCTAGAATTGTTATAATGAAAAGAAATGTAATTAACATACACGAATAAAAAAACAAGTAAAATTGTCATATACATTTGTAAAAAAATGTGTTGTCACAAACAATAAAAAAAAGTGTTGTTTTATTCTTATACGGTCTTATTCTTATACTGAGCTGCAATGATAAGATATTTATGTTCAAGATACACTCAGATCAAGTCTCACAAAGAAAAACAACACACCAATAACAGGTGCCAATTATCAACTTTTTAGCTGCTTGTCCACCCACTTTTCCTCTCCCAGGGGGCTTAATTGAGCGCCGAGACATTGACAGCTGCCACCAAGGCAAGGCAGTCTGGTTTGTTTCCCCTGGACATGGCGTCAACTTCTATCTTTCTTTTTTTTTTGTTAAATTGAATTTGTAACTTCATGGTCGACACAGCATGCCAAGAACAGCATGTTCCCGGATTGAGTCGAGAAATGTACTATGACTACATCTGTCAAAATCTATCACTACAGTATAGAAAGAATCAGTTACATGTGTAGTATAATGTTCACTGCATGAACAGATATGTCAACTTTAGATCAGAATGCATGCATGACATGTTCTAGGTATGCACGGGAAAACAAAAGACTCTTGACTGTTGAGGAAGTGCACAGATAAAAGGCAAAGTAAGTTCTGAAGAAGCACAATTCACCCTCTTACAATCCATATCTTCAAAAAGAAAATGCGGTTTACTGTGCGGAGTTGATTGAAATTGCTCCAGAGGCTGCAGCAACGATCCTACTGTTCAGTCTCTTCCATTGATTTATTCTGTCTTTCCTCACTCTTGCTTCCCTGTCAGACATTAAGCATCTGGCTGTTTTTATCTTGCAGTGGTAAACTGCTCTGATCCGGGCTTTGTGGAGAACACCATTCGTCACTCTCAACAGCGCTACCCCGAGAGCTTCAACTACAGAAACACCGTGATGTATCACTGCAAGAGGGGCTTCTATCTGCTCGGCTCCTCCGTCCTCACCTGCCAGTCAAATGGCTTCTGGGACAGATCACTTCCTAAGTGCCTTCGTGAGTGATAGCCTCGTATTTCGTCCAATACACACTCGTCCAGAGATTCATAGAGTGCCAAAAACGCCATTGCTGTTGTATACATGTGATGGAATGCTTCAAAATACATTTTCTAAATTAGAATTATGGTTCTTGTTTTCAGTAATATCCAGCATTCTTAAAACAAGCTCAATTCATTGGAGAAGAAAGATTATACAAGATTATTAAGACCTTTTTTTTTCAGAGAATATTTTTGCCTATTGAATAAAAAATAAACTTATATCCTATAATTAACACAAGTTACTATGATATTTAGATATCTTTGCTTAAAAAAAGAGACAATCTTCTGACTGATTACTATTTCTGTGTATCTTTTTTTATTATTATTAATATTTTTAACACTTGTGCACTAAAGGGAATAATTTGAGAGATTTAGCATTCTGACAGAATGTTAAAAGTAGCAATAACTGTTGAACTGTCAGCACACTGAAGTCATCTCTTAGAAGTTGCATTTCTAAATTCATCCCCTTAAAAGCTCCACCATTACAGCCATAAAGGACCACTTTTGTAACAAAGACAAAGACTTTTGTAAACAAGACAATTACTGCACTGTCAAAATGTTTTTGAAATAGTTGGTCAGTATACAAATGCAGACGGACAGCTAGCTTTTGCCATTGTCTTGCATCTGTTTCACATGCTGTGAGCATTGTATTTTTAAGTGTATTTATAACTTGACACATTGTATATTAAATGTGTCAATTTAAAAATAGTTCAACATCTCACGACTCTTATTTTTTATTTTTTTCCCTAGCTGTTCAAATGCAAGCAGCCTATGTGATTGCCTCTTAGAAAAATGTCTGATTGGCGTCTGGATGTGGCTATGTTTCAAGAAACAGTATAATACCGTACTGCATTTACTCTTTCTGCAGTATATAGTTTGTAAGCAGTGCTCTGTAATTTATCCTACGGTGCGGTGTGGTTGACTTGACCATTAATTTTAAGTTTTCACTGTGATGGATGAACCAGAATAAATATCAGCTGTGATTTTACCATCTCCTTCTTGACTATTTGATCCGACTGCCAAATGATATTTTTACACAAAAAAGGAATAAAATGCAAATGAACCATATTAATTTCCAAGGTTTTGACTTGAAACCGCTTGCTGAATTAAACAGGCCTCAAAGGTTAGGTCCTGTGACAACAGTGTAGCTTATGCCTGTTGTTCACACTTACTATTAAAAAGTAATATGCAGTATACTGAAAAAAAACAGTGTAACCAGGCAGTCATAGTCGATTTTGAAAATATGTAGTTTTGCACATCCCTATTAAGGCTTTAAAATTAAATATGATTGTAAGTGGGTTGCATCTAAACAATCACTTTTTCCATGATAGTTGTAAAAAACACTGGGTGACACTTTATTTTTAGGTGTCCTTGTTATAGTGCATTTAAGTACTGAGTAATATTAATTAACTACATGTACTTACTTTATGATTAGGGTTAGGATAAGGGTTTGGCTTAGGGTTATTTGCATGTAATTATGCATAATTTATTGTTATTATAATAGTAAGTACATGTAACATGTGAAACAAGGGCACCTTAAAATAAAGTGTTACCAAACACTGCATAGATCAGGGGTGCCCAACCCTGCTCCTGGCAATCGACTGTCCTGCAAAGTTTAGCTCCAACTCTAATCAAAGACACCTGCCTTTAATTTTTAAGTGATCCTGAAGACCCTAATTAGTTGCTTCAGGTGTGTTTGATTAGGGTTGGAGCTGAACTTTGCAGGACAGTCGATCGCCAGGAGCAGGATTGGGCACCCCTGGCATAGATAAACAGCATGCATTTTGAGGCAATGCAGCAAAAGAACACTGAAGTTTTAGCAGTTTTTAAGTATCTTATCGGAGATCTTCTGTCCGCTTTCTTCTGCCCCCCCATAGCAATATCCTGCAGTGATCCCGGCACACCGCCATTTGCTGTCATGTCGGGCCAGAAGTTCACCACCAGAGCCGTGGTCCATTACTCCTGCAGCCAGGGCCGAACTCTGGTGGGGAATGCCACGCGCCAGTGTCTAGATGATGGCCGGTGGAGCGGCTCGCCACCCTACTGCTCAGGTACACACATCAGCAGGTGGCAGAGCCTCAGGGCGGGAGACTGCAGACCAGCCGGCTGATCTTTAAGCCTCTGTCTGAGCAGCTCAGCTTACTTCAGACTGTAAGAGCTCCAACAGATCTTAAAGTTTAAACAGTAACTACTGTTGACATCAAGTTCTTGTTTCCTCAAAGTCCAGATGATGTGCACATCACGCAGCTCTCTGACATTACATGTTTATGTGATGCGTTTATAAAATAATAACGTAGACCAGACTGCCCTGGACTAGAGCACGACAGTTTGGTCAGAAGAACACACATTAATTTCATTCATAGAGAAACTGATTTTACATTTACATTTAGTCATTTAGCAGACTCTTTTATCCAAAGCGACTTACAAATGAGGACAATAGAAGCAATCAAAATCAACAAAAGAGCAATAATAAGTAAGTGCTGTGACAAGTCTCGGTTAGCCTAACGCAGTACACATAGCAAGGTGCTTTTGTTTTATATAATAAATAAAAAGAAAACAAGTAGATAAAATAGAAATAGAATCGAGAGTGCAAGTGTTAGAGGGTAGGTTTTTTTTTAATAAATAAAATAAAACAAGTAGATAAAATAGAAATAGAATCGAGAGTGCAAGTGTTAGAGGGTAGGTTTTTTTTTAATAAATAAAATAAAACAAGTAGATAAAATAGAAATAGAATAGTGTTAGAGGCCCAAGTGTAGAATAATAATGCAATAAGCCCCAAGAAGCCATGGTTTACAGTGAATTTATAACAGCTAAGGGGCGTTGTAAAACCCCCTTAGCTGTTATAAATTCACTGTAAACCATGGCTTCACGGGGCTTATTGCTTTTATAAAACGGTT